CCCCCCAAGGAAGGGGTCCCACTGCCCCCTCGGCTGGCAGGGACCTCATGAAGTTCAACACGGGGAAGTGCAAAGCCCTGCCCCTGGGGAGGAACAGCGCGGGGGCACCCGGCTGGGCAGCAGCTCAGCAGAAAAGGCCCTGGGGTCCTGGGGGACACCAAGTTGACCACGAGCCAGCAACGGGGCAAAGGAGGAGGCGAACGGCGCCCTGGGCTGCGTTAGGAGGAGCGTGGCCAGCAGGCAAGGGAGGGGATCCTGCCCCTCTGCCCAGCGCTGGGGAGGCCGCTCCTGGAGTGCTGGGTCCGGTGCTGGGCTCGCCGGTACGAGAGAGACGTGGACGTACTGGAGAGAGTCCAGTGAAGGACCACCGAGAAGATTAAAGGACTGGAGCAGCTCCTCTGTGGAGAGGCTGAGCGAGCTGGGACTGCTCGGCCTGGAGAAGGCTCCAGGCACCTTGTCCACGTAGGGAGGGTGCAGAGAGGACAGAGCCGGGCTCAGTGGTGCCCAGTGCCAGGACCACGGGCGATGGGCACAGGCTGAAGCCCAGGGCTCCTCTCTGCACATCAGGAAACACTTTCCACCGTGAGGGGAGCACGGGCACCGGGGAGGCGGTGTCACCTCCGTCCTTGGAGATCGCCAAAAGCCACCTGGGCACGGTCCTGGGCAACCAGCTCTGGGTGCCCCTGCTTGAGCAGAGGGTTGGGTGATGACCTCCTGAGGTCCCTCCCAACCTCAGCCACTGCGTGATTTGGTTCCTCGCACACCTGAACATCGCCCCAGGAGGAAGGGGTCCCACTGCCCCACCAAACATTGCCCTGGGGGTACGGCTCCCCTCATCCACCTGAGCATCACCCCACAAGGAGGGGGTCCCCTTGCCCACCCCAGCATCATCCCCTGAGGAAGGGTTCCTCAGCTACCTGAGCATCACGTTGCTAGGAAGGGATCCCCTCGCCCACCCCAGCATCACCCCCGAGGAAGGGCCCCTCGCCCACCCCAGCGTTGCCCCACAGCTGGTGCAGCAGCCGTGGGCTGGTGGGGGGCTGCGCCGTACCAGGGGCTCTGCCCTTCCCACCGCCCCGCAGGGGTCCTGTCATGTTGGGGGGCCCCGGGCACCCCAGGAGCTCCCGGCAGGGTCCGGGGGCTGCCCCCAGCCTCACTCTGCAGCAGGCAGGGCTCAGCGCAGGCATCCCCATGGCCCTGCCTAGCGCCGGGAGCAGGGCAGGAGGCGGGCAGCGCCGACCCACGCCCAGCCCAGAGCAGCTCAGCGCTGTCATGAGTTTCACGGCCTCAGCCCAGCCCAGGCAGAGGGGACATGCATCCCCCCGCAAGCCCAGGGGCTGCAGCCACGGGGCGCCGGGGGGCTGCCGTACCCCGGCACCGCCGGGAAAATGAAGTGCGAGCTGCCAGCGGGGGCTGCAGGCTCCTGGCGGTGCCGGATGCGGCCCGGCTGGCCAACGCGCCGTAATCGAAGACATGTGTGTGGGCTTTGGGGAGAGGCTGCGCTGGGAAACAGGGCCCTGCGGAGACCGGGGGGCTGTATCCTGTCCAAAAGCCCAGGTCCCACATGAAGCCAGGCATGCGAACGCGATCCAAACCACAGCTGGATTTGAACCGAATCTCCCAGCATCTGGGCTAATTTGCTGCAACTTTGATTGATCGTGGGGAGGGGGCACGGGCGGGAGACGCTCCAGCTCAGACCTCCCAACAGAGCCAATGACTTAACCAGAGCTGGTTCCAATCTGCTCAGCACATTGAGGCGAAAATGCCCCTTTCCCTGCGCGCTCCCGTTCGCCGGCTGGCTCTGCCCGTGGCCCCGCAGCCCGGCATCCCTCGGGGCTGAGCGTGTGCCGCAGGTCCCCGGGGGGTCCCGGGCAGGTCTGGGGCTCTCTGGGTGCAGGACGCGGCTGCAGAAGCCAGGTCGGCCCTTCTGGGGCTGGGGCCACCCCTCCGGCGGGCAGAGCAGGGCCGAAGGGGGGATATTCGTGGATCCAACCCCCCTCCACCTGCCCCAAGCCCCTGCGAGCACCGACCCGTCCCTCTGCTCCCACGAGAGGCTGGGAATGGGAGAGGAGCTGCAAAAGAGGGTGGAAAAGGTGAAGGTTTTTCCATTCCCCCCCTCGGCTGCTGCCCCGAGGGCTCGGCGTCACTCAGCAGGTAGCTGGGGCAGCCCGGGGTCCCGGCCGGCCCCGGGGGAGGCAGCTGTCTGGGAGCCGCTCGCTGCCGTGATTTATACAGCACAGTCCCATAAATTACCGGGACGGAGCCCGCGGGAGCCATCGCTCACAGCGACGTCCAGAGCTCGCTGCCAGAACCTGAAACACTTCCAGCCGTTAATTGAAGAGGAAAAAAAAAATAAAGGGGGGGGTGGGTGGAATTAGTGCCCGGGGAGTTGGGATTAAACCACAGCTCTGTAACGAGGAGTCGCCCGTGTCCCGCTCCCAGGATCCCGGTGCTCCCTGTGGGCACGAGCCCAGGATGGGGAGCAGGGAGGGGGATTTCTCAGCCGGTGCCTGGGACGTGCCCACCGCAGGGTCCCCACGGGCAGCGACGCCCCGTCCCGGTCCCCGTGGGGGTGTCCTCGTAGTGAGCTGGGGTACCCTGGACCCGACGGGAATCTGAGGACGAGTTCCAGCCGAGTGGTGCTGAGCCGGGAGGGCCAGGGCCACCATGGCCGTGCACCCTCCCTGCCAGCAGGTACCCTGGACCCGACGGGAATCTGAGGACGAGTTCCAGCCGAGTGGTGCTGAGCCGGGAGGGCCAGGGCCACCATGGCCGTGCACCCTCCCTGCCAGCACCCATCCTCTTTTCTCCCAAATTCAGGGCTGGCCAGACCCTGTCCTGCTGGCAAGCACTGTGGGACCCCCGCAGCGCTGTCCCGGCCCCCGTCCCCAGCCCCTGGGACCCCACGCTGGCTCCCACTCACCAAGGGCCCAGGGTTACGGGGTGAAACCCCGGGAGCATCCCGGGCGGCCCCAGCCAGGATGGCCGAGGGTCGGGGAGCCCTGCGCGGGTCGGGGGGTGCCCGCGGGAC